GTAAATATACAAGTATATCTATGTTTTATGTGTGTACGTATATATATATATTTATTTAAGTCGATGACCGTGTATGTAAGATGTATATATTATGATTATTGTGTGAACATATTTATGTATACTTCAGATAATATATATGCAGGTGCATGCATGAGTAAGTCATCTAGTGATGAGCTTGATTAGTGAAAGAATAACATAATAATATTTAAAAGACGAAAAAATTCTTTTAACCGGTATCACCAATGGGTGGGTGTGTGTATAACCTTTTGGCGTGTGATTATGGTAAATCCTACCCGTGGATACAAACATGACGGAACAATAAGAACTGTGAACTGTATACTGTGTACTACAAATTGTAAATTGTGAACTAAACTGTAACATATTCACGTGGTACAGGGGATCCTTACTACTCTCGTCGATGTCAGCAGAATTGATATCGCGCGGTGAAACTATTTTTAATAAGATATAAACTGATATGAAGGAATAAGAGTCATGAGTAAAGTTTACGAAACTGAAATCCTGAATTAATATCTACTGAACTGCTTACTGGTTAAATTGTAATATTAAATACTGAATTATGTTATTTATAGAACTGTTTATGCCATGAGTTATAATACTGAAATAAGAAATTCTGAATGTTTAATGAATAAACTGATTTAAAAGATTTGGTAATTGAATGTGTGCATATATTGGTTGTGGGCATTACCCATTTTTCTTATTGAGTTCGTGAAACTTACCCATATTCACACCCTCCAATGCAAATAAAATCAAGAGTAAGTTTAAGGTTGAAGAAAGACTTTGAAGAACCTTTAGTGACAGTGAGAGTTCGTCTTTGAAAGTTGGTTTAATTATATTATAATGATGTAATGTAAAGAATTTTGTAAGTCTCGTGACATAAGTCCGTATAGGGAATGATTGAGTCTTAAGTTTTCACTTAATACTGCGTAAATTTATCAAGTTATGTATGCAAAATGACGCTTTTTTCTCAACAGAGAAAACAGGTCGTTACACAATCGGTCAAATCTAGTATGAATTACACATGGATGGTAGTTGAGGCGATGACTCTACTAGGGTTCCCTAATTTGGAATCTTTAGAGAAGAGATCAGTTGGTCCTTATAAACAATTTGATGTATTATCTTCCTTCAACTCTTGAGCAAAATATGCAAAAGGAAGGAAAATTCATTGATCGACACCATCGTTTCCATCTAAAAACTATGAGATCACCCTAAAGACGCCCCGTACAACCCAAAAAGGTTTTAAAAAAAATATCATGACTAAAGGTTGAATACTTATCTCATAATTTATTTTATATTTCATATTTTGGATTCTTAAGAATTTAAATGACATGATTCATAATTTGCTCAAATAGTTAGTCCATTTAAATTATAATCATTTCTTTCTCCATCCCTACAACTAAAATGGGCCTTTAAAAGAATTGTGGTTGAAGGCCAAATATTGATAGGCGATGCATAATCTAGCCAAATAGGTAGCTCATTTAAATTATTAGTGGTCAATATATGTGAATATTGTAAATAACATTTCTTTAATATAATTTGAATAAAAGAATACATATGGGTAAAAAGTTATTTTATTTATTAATCACTACATAAATCTCATGTAGTTTATTTATTTTAATTTAACTAAAATTATAAAATACTAAAAGTTTGAAAAGATGTTTGTTACAATTAAAAATATAGGAAATAATTTTTATAAACTCTTTTGGAAGAGGGGGGGGTGGGG